GCCCAAGAGGGAGTGCAGTGGTATGATCCTAGCTAACTGCAGTCTGGAACTTCTGGGCTTAACTCCTGGGCTCAAGAGATCCTCCTGCCTCAGCCTCCCCAGTAGTTGGGACTACAGATGCTCACCGCCACACCTGGCTAATTTTTCTATTTTTAGTAGAGATGGGGGGTCACACTCTTGTTCCGGTTGGTCTTGAACTCCTGACTTCAATCAATCCTCCTGCCTCAGCCTCCCAGAGTGCTAGGATTACAGATGTGAACCACCACACCCAACCTAAAGAATTTTTTTGTAGAGATGGGAGTCTCCCTATGTTGTTCCACCTGGTCTTGAACTTCTGGCCTCAAGCAATCCTCCCACCTCAGCCTCCTTAGCAGCTGGGACTACAAGTGAGATTCACCATGCCCATCTTTCTTTCTACTTATTAAAAAAACAAGTTAACTGTGAAATAGCCTCAGATACCTCTGTCAGGAGGTATTCCAGACAGCTCCATGCACATTATTGCCCCTGAAGACCTTCCAGTGGGACAAGATGTGGAAGTGGAAGACAGTGATATTGATAATCCTGACCCTGTGTAGGCCTAGGCTAATGTGTGTTTGTTTTCATTTTTAACACAATAGTTCAAAAGGTAAAAAAAAATTAATATAAAAAATCTTATAGAATAAGGGTATAAGGAAAATATTTTTGTACAGTTGTACAATGTGCTTATGTTTTAAACCATGTTGTTACAAGAGTCAAAGTTTAAAAAGTTTTAAAGTAAAAAAGTTTCAGCAAGCTAAGGTTATTATTGAAGAAAAAATTTCAAAATAAATTTAGTGTAGCCTAAGTGTACAGTTCTTATAAAGTCTACGGTAATGTATAGTAATGTCCTAGGCCTACACATTCACTCACCACTCACTCACTGACTTACCCAGAGCAACTTTCAGTCCTGCAAGCTCCGTTCATGGTAAATGCTCTATACAGGTCTACCAATTTTTATCTTTTATACCTTACTTTTGTGGTATCTTTTCTGTGTTTAGATATACAAATACCACTGTGTCACAATTGCTTACAGTATTCAGTACAGTCACGTGCTGTACAGGTTTGTAGCTGTACAGGTTAGTAGCAAAAAGATCTACCATTTAGTCTAGGTGTGTAGTATGCTATACCATCTAAGTTTGTGTAAGTACACTCTCACTAATGACACATTTCTCATAAAGTATCCCTAAACGATGCACAACTGTAGTTTGATTATTTACCAACTGTCTTTCTTACTTTGATTTCAGCTTCAAGAAAACAGATACCTATTCTGTCTGCTTCCTATCAAAAACTGTCCAGAAGATGCCTGACAGAGGGTGGGGCTCAATTGTCACTTGTTAAATGAACAGATAGATGAAAGGATGGCTCCTCTCTCTGCTCCATTATCTTAGGTCAGGTACCAACCTGAGGCTACCTCCTACATCTTTCTTCTGTAGGTCTCTCCTCTTTTCTGATTAGAGGCAAAAGCTACAGGCAAAAGCAACAGGCCAGGCGCGGTGTTTCACGCTGTAATCCTAACACTCTGGGAGGCCGAGACGGGAGGATCGCTCAAGGTCAGGAGTTTGAAACCAGCCTGAGCAAGAGTGAGACTCCATCTCTATTAAAAATAGAAAAATTAATTGGCCAACTAAAAATATATAGAAAAAATTAGCTGGGTATGGTGGCGTATGCCTATAGTCCCAGCTACCCGGGAGGCTGAGGCAGGAGGACCGCCTGAGCCCAGGAGTTTCAGGTTGCTGTGAGCTAGGCTGAAGCCACGGCACTCTAGCCAGGGCAACAGAGTGAGACTCTGTCTCATAAAAAAAGAAAAAAGAAAAAAAGCAACAGCAGCTTACAGACCTATTGTGAGGGCTCAGGATGAGCAGCTGGTAAAAACCACAGTCAAGGTGGGGAAGACTCTACCCAACGGAGGTAGAAAAAGCTACCTCTACCCAGCGGAGGTAGAAAAAGCTACTTTGGGATTTGTCTTGCTCTGGTACCCTCTTGGCTTGGCTCTGGGCTCCTCTCCTGGGTTGTTTACATGGCTCTCTTGTCCTTTAATAAAACTTCTTTAAAAGGAAGGGGGTCACATCCAGAGATGCCTTGGTGCCACCTAGAGGCAGTTGCAGGGATGAAGGGCACCAACTAAGGCTAGGGTCATGAATGGAGGAGAGGAAAAAGGGAAAATGACAGGTGGACCATGATAGCAGCAGTGATGGGGGCCCCAAAAGGGGAGACATATGAGGGACAGTGATAGGAGCAGAGATGGGAGACAGTGATAGGGACAGGAATGAGGGATCATGATGGGGCCTCACAAAGGGGTTCAGTGATGGGGCACTAGGCACACGCATAGGGTAACATTGATTAAGACAGGGATGTGAGGTCACAAGGACCACAATAAAGGCCATGATGGGAGGTCAGGCATGGTGGCTCACAACTGTAATCCTGGCACTCTGGGAGGCTGAGGTGGCTTGCTTGAGGTCAGGAATTCAAAAGCAGCCTGAGCAAGAGTGAAACCTCATCTCTACCAAAAATAGAAAAAAATAGCTGGGCATGGTGTGCACCTGTAGTCCCAACTACCTGGGAGATTCTGTTGTGACACACAGAGGGTACAGGATTGGGTCTGGGGATGATTACCCTTAATCTCAGGGTTGTTTCAGGGCTCCCCTGGAATGGCTGGGTCCAGAACTTTGAAAATTACTTGAAAGGAAGCAGCAGGCTGGCTTGAGCCTCTGATTTCACCCCCGGGCCTAATCCCCTCTTTCCCTGGGCCTGACCTCACACTCATAGAAAGGCTCAATGTCTGAGTAATGCTGGTCACAGATAAGGTCACTAACCCTGTGTCCAGGGACAGGAGGGATCCTGGGAAAAACGTATGAGCAGTTGTGGGCAAAGTATCTGTACGTGACAGGAACAGCCATGGTCCATTGAGTGTTCAAGGAGCGAACTGCTGGGCAGGATATCTGGGGACAAGAGGTGCCCTTGGGCCACTAGGACATCAGGTAGGGAGGTAAGGGTCAGCACTTACGGAGCAAGGCTTCAGGCTGGGGCACTGGGTACTGTCAATGTCATGATAAGGTGGCTAAAGTAGACAGTACCCTCTAGGTCCAGCTGGATGGTGATGTGTAAACACCTGCACCTTTAGCCATGAGGGCTAATCACAGCGACCAGCCCCTGACCCCACACCCCAGAATCACACACATAGGCACACTGGCACCCTCATCACGCTTTGCCTGCCACCATAGCCACTCCAGGAGGTAACATTCTCAATGTCATGGCCTCCCTGGTCCCAAGTCACAGAAGCAGCAATTCTGAGTCCTGGGGGAGGGCCCAGAGGTAGACCTGGAGGTTCACGGTCAGACCTCTCCTCCAAAATGTCACACCACAAGCTTCTCTCCAGTGTCCCCATAGAGCTAGACCTGCCCAGGATATCCCAAATACGCTAGTCTCCAAAGCCCTCACCCTCCTCCTCACCTGCAGATGACTGACAATGCAGTAGGGTTCAGGGCCATGGCCAACCACCAGGTTGCTGGTGGGCGGGTAGCAACTACCATTTGAGCAGCCAGGTGGGGGAAGCATATCTGGTACTTCCTAGATTGCTCTAGGAGCCTAGGCTGGGAGGGGCAGGGTCTAAGTAGTGATTCTACAGATACCTCCCACCTCACCCCACCCCACAAAGAGGGCCAATATTTCCTCCTTCTCTGACTAGCTCTCTGGGAAAGAGCTAACTTTTCACCCATTGGTGGCAGCAGCAGCAAAACTGGAAGGAGAGGGCCCAACCCATATGGGAGTCCTAGGCACTGGGAGCTGGAATTAGGCCTGAGAGGATGCTTAGTGGGCCCCAAGCTGAGTGGCATTTGAGGAGCTGAGTGTAGCCCTCAGGTCATTCCCCATACTCACACTGTAGATGAAAGCAGAACTGTCAAAGGCAAGAAGCATGCAGAGATGTGAGGCCACAGGAAAGCTAGGAGCAAGGGGTCCCCAGTGTGGGGGAATCAATGGCAGACACACCCAGAGGAAGGATGTTAATAGCAGCCACCAGATATAGGAGGAAGGGGCACCAAGAAGCACACACAACTTCACCCTAGGTCCACCAACCAGGGCAGCCGTGTGCTAGTGGGGTGCAAGACCTGATTCTCATTCAAATGATGCTCCCACCCTCAGCCCTGAAAGGCTGTTGTCTCTAGGAGCTGAGGAATGTGTCTGTTCCCTGCCCACCCCAGCCGCTACCATTCAGCATGGGCAGCCAGCAATGCACTGTAGGTTGGTGGGACAGTTAGTTCCATTCACGGCATCAGGGCCCAGCCCCCTCTCCAAAGCAGAAAAGGCCGACAATGTCTGGAACATACAGGCCCACATTGGGGAGCACGATGAAGCTGGACTTGGGAGTAAAAACACTTGAAATCCATACAGAAAGCACTGGCGACGAGGCAGTTGTGGAAATCCTTCTGGCTTTGCTATCACAGGTACCCCACCCAACCAAAAAGAAAATTTTTTGTCAGCCAGAACAGGTTCTGAGGTCCTGACTCAACACCCAGCCCCTTGCCACCAAGTTGAAGCTAGTCACTCCCTCCCAGGAGAGCAGAGTGGGGGAGGTGCCTCAACCCCTTCAGGCCTGGCCCCACACCAGACAAGCCCAGGCAAAGCCCCAAGGTTTCAGCCAGGCTGTCTGCTTGATCCCTGGGGAGTAGTACCACAAAGGCTCCCTTCCCTGCTGGCTGCAAGGTTCCCTGAGAAACTGGACTGTCTGGATAACAAATCAGGGCAGCCTCAGAGGGAGGTATCTTACCTCACAGTGGCTCTACTCCTGCCCTCAGGGGAAGCCTCTCACACAGACACAGAAGCCAGCACCCGAGTTTCCCCTATCTCTCCAAAGGGGCGTGGGACCTGACCCTCCCTCAACTCCCTCTGGCAGGCCTGCTCCTGGGGCCACTTTCCCTATATGCTCCAACTGGCCTGCCAGCAGCCACACACAAAAAAAGACCATGGAGGGTGGGCAGGAAGACTGGAAGGTGGAAAGGTATAAAACGTGATAGATGATACAGTGGACATACAACTTGAATAACAAGTCACAGTGCATCGCGCCATGAGAACACCCTGCCCACCCGCCCACCCCAACCCACACCACATCCTCCAGTTTCTGAAAAGAGGCTGGTGGCTGCCAGGGCCCTGGAGAGGTACCCAGAGTCCTCGAGGTTGTGGAGTCCTCGGGCATAGCACACTGTGCCACTGGCCACAAAGACAGCTAGGCTGTTTCCCCAAACATTGCTGTGTGAAGGAATCAAGGTGCTGAATATGGCAGCAACGGCTGCAGCTGTATTACAGGAGACAGGTTCATACGGAGGATCCGTTGAGCCCGCTGCCGCACCTCGTCATCTGAGGAGCGCTTATCTACCTTTATGGCACGAAACTTTAGCAGCTTTGCTGTTCCAGGCCCTAGCCACGCCTTAGGAGATCCGGGCCCAAGCCGTGTTCTCTTCTTGGGAGGAAGATCTTTTGCCTCCTCAGCCCTTTTCCTCTTCTGTCCAACAGTCTCAGGGCGGGTTTTCTGGTCCTTCCTTACAGTTCTAGCCTGAGCAGACCCCTTTGGCCTGCCCCTGCACCTGGACTGGGTCCAAGCTGCCTTGGTTTTGGTTTTGACCTTGGCCTTGGTCCGCACTGCCTTGGCCTTAGCCCTGGCCCGTGCTGCCTTGGCCTTGGCCTTGGCTTTGGCCTGTGCAGTCTTGGCCTTAACTTGTGCTGCCTTGGCCTTAGCTTGTGCTGCCTTGGCCTTAGCTCTTGAGGCCTTGGCCTGTGTTCGAGCCATCTTGGCCTGGGCAGAGGCAGCTTTGGCCAGTGTTCGAACTGCCTTGGCCTGGGCTCTTTTAGTGCCCAGGGCAGATCTCCCTTTCATTTGCAGGCCACTGAGAGACCCAGTGGCTTTGTGGGTCTTGCTCTGGAGCCCAGTGCCTTGTCGGGGTCCAGCCCCAGGACCTTTACGAGTCAGACACTTAGGGCCCTTGCTTGTGGTTTTTCTGGGAGCCTTAGAACGGGGTTTCCCCAGACCCTTTTCTGAACCTTTCCGCAGTTTCAGAGGAGAGTCTGCAAGCGAGAGCTGCAGTGACTGTGCTTTGTGCTTGGCACCCAAGCAGGGCATGGGAGTCTTGAGCGGAACCAGGGCTTCAAGAACAACAGAGAGCCGCATGGCAGGGTAGACACCTGGATAGAGGTGGGTGGGGAAGCCCACCGCTGCACCCCGGGCACGGTTGGCACTTGATTGCTTCAAGGAGCTCAATAGCAGGTTGGTAGTAGCATGCTTGGCAAGGGCTGGTGTGGACGCTTTGGCCAGTCTGCCAGACAGTGGCATAGGGAGCAGTGTAGCCCGACCTGCGGGCAGCCGCATGGCAGTTCGGGGAGCACTGGCTGGAGGTGATGTGGCAGCTGGGTTGGGAGCACGAGCTTGCAGCTTTGTCTGGCTTGGGGGGTTGGCTGTGCATGAACTATAGCCATACACATCACCACTGCGCAGGATGGTAGGTTGGAAGCCATCATCTCGCAGGCCCTGCAGGAAGGCCACAAGCTGGGCCTCTGTGGCACTGAGATCCTGGCTCATGGGGTTAAAGACAAGCAGCGCCTCTTCCAGGGCCTTCTTCCCTGCCGTGGAGATACGCGACCAGGAGTGCACAGCTTTTTCCTCCACATGCTGCACCACCACGCTCATGGCATTGGGCACTGCAGATCTGCCTGGGTATCCGCAAACCAGTGCTTGGCACCTCCAAGGCAAGAGGAAAACAGTCAATAAGAATGGCACTGAGATAGGGGGCCAGAACAGGCAGACAAGTCAATCAGGGCCCCCACTCTCCATGATACCAAGGGGCCTGGCCAGAGCAAGCCACTCCCTGGTATAAACCTTGGTCTCCTGATCCTCTACCATGTTGGGGTAGGAGGAGGGTAGTATGGGTCAGGCAGCTTCTTCAGGATACACGCTCAGAAGCACTTTAGAGCCATTCAACCTACTGCTGGGTTCCTGGAAAGATTTAAGTCTGGCCCATTTTTAGTTCAACTCTATAGTTTCTGAGGCTAGAAACCTAGTATTAGTTTCAGCCCTGGGAACACAGGCAAATAGCCTCGTCCTCAAGTAGGCCAGTGTGGAAGGCAAAACAAAACTACCTTTAAGGTTCTTGGGAGTGTACAGTGGCACCCAGTTCAGCTTGCCAATGGGTCAGGGAAAGATTTCTGGGAGAGACAATACTTAGCTAGAATATGAGTGATGAATGGGAAAGGACCAAATGGAAACGAGGAACAGCCAATGCAATGGCTCCAAAGAAAGAAAGAATAAGGCATTCTTGGTGTGGGGTCTGGGGTCAGCTGAGCTTGCCAATGGATTCCTGGGAGAGGCAACACTTAGCTGGGATATGACTGAGGAATAGGAAAGAACCAGATGGAAATGAGGAACAACCAATGCAATGGCTCTGAAGTGAAAAAGAATAAGGCACACTTGCTATGGGGTTTGGGGTCAGGGTAGGGGGTCTAGCTGGAAAAACAGGTCAGGGCAGAGTAAAACAGAGCTTGAGTAAAAAAGAGCATCGAGTGTCAGTCAAAGGGCCCAGACTTACACTGAATATCCATGCCCATCTCTGTTTCTTCAGCTGTTTGTGCTCAAGTACAGAGGTGAGGTGGAGTAGAGGAATCTGTCCACCATAAGTTCTGCTTTCAGAGTCCTCAGACATGCTACTTAGCAGCCCAATTCCTAGCTCCAGACACATGGAGACCAATCCCAGGGAAAGAGCCAAACTTTTCTTCAACAGAAACTAAAAAGCTGATAAGTAGTAGCTGCTCATGACATATCTTTAGGTAACCAGATGGCCAAGAGCCCAAGGTCTGAGGAAAGTGGGGGCCAAAAGCCCCAGATAGGATGATGAGTCAAGTGGACATTAGAGGTCTGAGCCTTCCTACCTAGGGCTTGGAGGAATGCAGATCTTGGTACAGCCCAAGTAAAGCTATCTGAAACACCCAACTTGTCCCAGGCTTTTTTGAAGAAGCTGTGGCTATCAATCATGACTATCATCTAATACTCAATCCAACATGTGACAGCGCCCAGAGGCAGGAGGTAACTCTCCAACTGCAAAGATCAGCTGGGATAAGGCAGGTCCCTGGGGCCATCAGGTTCGTCTGTGCAGCTTCTTCTCACTGCCCTAATGGAGCAGATGAAGTCTTCTGAATTCCCTGGAGAAAGTACCCAGGGGCTCTTTGTTTGGAAACATTCTAGAATCCTCAGGTGTCTCAGGCACTTCCCCTCCCCAGAGGCCATTCTCCAAGCACAATCCTCGCACATGACTTTAGTTATTTTATTAATTTTTTTTCTGGAGGGTGTAGTTCCCAGGGCAGTAAACTGTAGAATAAATAGGGAGGAACCTATTTCCCACCCCCAAACGCCCTCCAGCACAGATGTTGGGGGTGACCTGGGGGCTCTTCCGCCGGGTTATGCCAGGCCCTCGGGAAAGGTCTTCTGGGCTTTCAAGACGCTTCGGAAACAGGCTGCTGCCGGGCCCCCAACTTCCCTTCACACGTGCCCCCGCGGCTGGCAGGAGAAGTTTGACGGAAGATGGGGGGCGGGAGAGACGCCATCCAGGCGGACCGGGGGCGGGGGCAGATCAGGGGCCTCGGGCCGGGAGTCCGCGTCCCTAGGGCCCGAACCGCGGAGGGGAGGCGGGGGTCATGGCGGCAGCGAAATATGCGGGTCGAGCAGTGCTAGCCAGACTTAGACCGCGCAGCCCCAGGGTGGAGTCACTGGGCGCGGGGTGGGGGTGGGGTTGGGGTCTCGGCCGGGCCGGCGGAGGACGCGGGTCCGCGAAGAGTCGGCTGCGGGCCCGTCCGCCCTGCAGCCTCGCGGGCCGCCCCTCCGCGGCGCGGCTAGGCCCGCGGCTCCAACCTACCGGCGCCGCCGCGGGGACCCAAGACGCGCCTCTGCGCCGCCTCCGCCGTTCCAACATGGCCGCCCGCTGCGCGCCGGAAGTATGTCGCGCTTCCGCTTCCGGGACCTAGCCCGCCCTAGTGACCCTTGACCTTCGAGACCCCATTTCCCCCCGAAGTCTAGGAGCGGGGAAGGTTAGGTACCAGGGAGGGCTGCCTGGAGGTGGTGGCTGCGGGGACCGCTCCAAACCCATCTGGTCTTGTGTGGGAGTCTAAGGAACACAGGAACCCTTGGACGCGTCCCCACGCAGGATACACTGGAGACCAGCTAAGACTGGATTATGGGTCGTCTGACACCCTCTCTGAGGAGTACTGGTAGTACAGTACTATCTGCACTACTACTTGACAGGGTCTCCTGCCAAGGTGCAAGCTATTGTCCACCCTTAGCCACTGAGAAGGTCCACTTCTGTCCCAGACACCTAACCAAAGGGTGAATGAGGAGTGCCCCCTGACAGGGACTGTCTCAGGGAAGCTCCTTTGTTTTGTATTAAGGGTGCTTCCTCTGAGGACAGCAATCCCTCCCCTCTTCCTACGAATGGGGCCTACTGTATATGGAATGAAAGGCTGGTGTGCACATATTATCCCAAGTGCTATACACAAGCCCAAAGCTATGCATGTCTATACTGTGAGTCCCAGGTTACCACTGTGGGCCTGAATATACTTGCCCATGTACACAGGTATAGTGGAGAGATAGCCCCTCAATAGTAGGAAGTCCTGCCTTCAGTTTTAACACTGTCCAGAATCCCTGTCTTTTTGCCTAGGAGTCTGGGACCTCAGTCTTTCTACTTGTGCCCTGGGACCAGCAAAGGGGTGCTGGTTACAGGGCTCACTGTCTAAGCAGTACCAGCTCAGAGGACACAGGTCAAAATTAAACATAGTGGTCTATGACTTCAGATGAGGAGTCAGAATGGTTTCCACAGCTCTGACCAAAGTCCCCTCTAGTCACGGGTTCCCAAGTCCAGGTTGGGAGTCATCATGGGATCCCTGGTTTCATAGGTGAGGTAGTGGAGGCATTTGTAGTTGGGTCAGAGCCTGATCCAGGAGGCAGAAATACTGCCACAACTCTTGGACCCTGACCCTTGCAATGGTGCCACATTTGGTAATTGGGGTCGTGTGGAAGTCTATTGGCAGTCACAAGAGGGTGGCTAGATGCTTCATTTAGGAACTGAGTGTTAACCCTTCTCCTTCCCCCATATGACCCCAGGATCCTCTGGCTGTTCTGTATTTCCCCTGCCTATACAGAAAGGTCCAGACACCCCTAAAGACAAGTGCCCACTCCACTCAGCAGTGCCCTACACATCACTTGATGCCCCTTAGCTTCCTAGGGCCTCAGCACTAATGGTGAGGTCCTTGGTGTTTTCAAACATAGCCAAGGTATCCAAGAGGTACTGCAAAATCTCCCACTCCTTTGGGGTCAGTGTTTCTAGGCCTTTGTCCTGTTAGAAAGGAAGAGTGGGGTCTCAAGTATGGTGTACAATCAAGAAATCCCTCTTTGGTGCTTCCAGCCTCCAACTATGGGTCAGCCCTGTCTATGGCCTTGTCCTTGGTTGAAGGTTGGCTGTTAACTCTCAGGACTGACTGAGCCTCACCTTCTATTCCAATGTCTTCTATAGCGTCTCTGAAGCCAACAGTGTTGGGCCCCTGTGTACATGTGAGCTGTAGCTGGGCAAACAGAAGCCACTTCCATGAAGGGGCAGAGCCCAGCACCCAGGTATGTCCTGAAAAGAAGATCCTTCTCTGATGATGTCCAGCCCAGAGGTCAGGGCAAAGTGGAGAACCAGGAAGGTAAGTCCATCCTCTGGGTGTGTTTCTTTCAGACATGAGAACTGGGGAGAGGGTGGTGGTAGGGATTAGGGGTAAGGATCATGGGTTACCTAGCTCCACGAGGCCAGAGCTGAACCTTCTGCCTCCTGGTTCCCAGTATGCCCCAGATAGAACTCTTTGGGAGCACTCATTAGAGCACAGTCTGATTTGACTCAGACTTTCGTAGATGCTGAACCCTACAGGCATAAATAGGATAAGACAGGATAAGATGGGTCGGGAATACAGGGTGATTCCAAGATCCATCCCTTGCTGTCTAGTTGGCATCTCATATGATCCTAAATGGACCCTGGGCCCACCTCCACCTGAGCAGAGAGATCTGGTGGAGATCTTAGATGTGAGTGAAAGCAGTGGCTTGGGAGAGAATGCTCCAAGAGAGGGGTACATGTGCCAGGGAGAAAAGCCAATGTTGAATCTTAAGGAGCCACTCAAAAGGGAGGGAGAGGAAGCAGGGCCTAAAAAAGATTCCAAGAGTCAGGACAAGCAAGAGGAAGACGCTGAGGTCACAAGGGGTGAAACTTTGAAGATGCTAGCAAGATTTCAGTTGAGACAAAGACCATAGGGACCCGCTAGTTTTAGCTATTTGATATTCCATGGTGACTTTTGCAAGAGCAAATTTTTGGGAGCAATGACAGAAGACTGAGGTGGTATATTACAAGGAGGAAGAGCCTGTAAAGGCAGATGGCTTAAAGATTTTGGAGGAGAGGAAGGAGAGAGGGTCTTGGGGTGCTGGGAAGTATCTAAAGGTAGGCGCCTTGTAAGTGCTTAATTGCTGGAGGAGGGGGAGAGAGCTTGGAAAGGTAACAGTGGTAAATGTGAAGGGGTCTCAGGATAGTATGAGCATCCCATTGGGGGTTGACACCAGTGCTCCAAGTGAGAAGCAAGTCTGGTGTGAAGTGGGATGGGAGGATAGAGGCCTTCTAGACAGTGTCTGTGCAGTCTTTAACCAGCCTTGGCACCACCCTTTTTGTCCAGGCCCTCTGACTCCAACTGCCAGCCCCTGAAAGGTCATGGACAGGGATCTGCCCACACTCTGGGCAGGCCAGAAGTCAGGTAGGCCAGGGAATTAATGTCCGTCAACAGCTCTCAACCCATGACTGGTGGGGATTTGAGAATGAGTACCTCAGCTCCCCTTGCTCTTGGGGGCCCATGTTCTACACTGGCTCCCAGAATCCCCAGCAGGATTTGGTCCCAGTTGCCTATAGTAGTTGCTTGATGACACCTCCTTTACTGGCTGCTTTCCCTGTCTCCTTGCCACTGCTGGCATACCCTGGCATCACCTCCCACACTAACTATATGCACTTGTATCTTTGTCTCCAGGTCTGCTTTGGGGAAACTAAGACAAGCTCTGTCCATGAAAGGGGACAAGGCAGTGAGCAAACAGACAACTGAAAGGACCTCTTCCCACAGGTACCAGTGACCTATACAAGTGAGCCCTCAGCTTGAAGACAGCTCATACTCTGAATGCTCAGAAGATAGGCAGGGCCAGGGTCTGAGGTAAGTGGGCCCCTGTCACACCAATTTGGTCTTGCCTGAGCCCAGAGTTGGCTAGAGGCATGCCCAGGACTCTAAAGTGCCTTGGGCCCCAGAGTAGCCCAGGTCTCAGGCCCTACAGGATAAGTTCCATGATGATCAACCTGAATGGAACTGGCCTCTGACTCTTCTAGTTCATTGCCTGCTCAGAGTTACCCCTCCCTCCAAGAATTCCCCTCACGCAGGCTTATGGAAGGGCCCGTTAGGCCCTGAGGATGGCACTGTCTGCTCCTCCACCCTCCACTAGCCTCAAAGTGCTCTGTAGGGCCTATTCTGGGGCCTGGTTTGTGCCTGGCCACCTCCACCAGAGGCCCAGGCTACTCCCCAAGTGGCCTCTAGGGGGCGCCGCAGCAAAGCCCATCATTGGGCTTCTGGGAGCTCAGCGGCTGTGCGTGGGCGCCGGCCTCTCACACCCCTAGGTTCTGCGGGCTGGCTCTATAGCCGGTGCACGCAGGCTGGGTCCAGCTCAGAACGACCCCTGCCCCTTTACATTTTGTGCCTCTCACCGCTGCCTCATTTCTACCCCCGCCCAAGGTCGAATCCTAAATCCTGGCAGGCCCAGTGTCCACGTGTCCGTTTGGCTGTCCGTTTGCATGTGACCGTGGGTCGGCGCGCCCTGCTCTGGCCGCGGCATGTGCAGGGTTAAGGCAAGAGGAGGAGGTTTCCCTGAGTCGGGTGGGGAGGGGGGGCTGAGGGGCGGACCTGATCCAGCCCCGCCCCGCGCCGGAGCCGAGCTGGGGGCCCGCCGGATCCCAGCTTCAGCCCCAGCCAGATTCGGCGTCAGCGGAGGCGGAACGGCAGACCCCGTGCCCTGGTGTCACTGGAGCCCTGGCCGGTGAGTCCCGCGGGAGCCATGCTCAGGGGAAGTTTGAGGCCCGGAGCACAGAACCCCAAGCGCTTTTGCCCAGCCCCGCCCCCAGCCCCCCGCGAGCTGGAAGTTTGGGGCCAGGAGGCCCTCCTGCCAGGGGTCCAGGAGTGTAACCGAGGGAAAGGGGAGGATGGGGGACCTTGGGGCATCTGCCATGAGAGGACCCAAATGTCTAGTTGGTCATTCCTGCTGAAAACGCCCTGGACTCTGGGACCCTTACAGTCCTGTGCTCATGAGATCCCCAAGTCAGCCCTGACTCTTCTGGACACTAGCGAGTCTCCCCTCTGGGGGCTGGACATGGGCAAACCCCTAAGGGTGGACCTCAAGGGGAGAGTGTGGAACCCTGGTGTCTAGCCTTCCCCACCCACCTCAGTCCCAGACACCCCTGACCCTGGCCTTTTGCTGGTGGGAATAGATGAACCCTGTGAAATGGCCCCAAGGGTGTTATAAGGATACCCAGGAGTCTGGCCCCTGACAGCAGTGTGGGAACCCTGATGGCTGGATCCCAGGCTGCCCAGGGCACACTGGAAGCCAGTAAGGGGAGGATATACAAATAGGACTCACGAAGAACCAGGGTGAGAATTGCTGAGGGGAAAGAAAGGGATCTAGGATGGAAAGTTCTATTCTAGTCACCTTACCTCTCACCTAGATCCAGATTTGACCCAGTTGCTCCAAGTGGTTAGGTCAGGGGGTGGGAAGGAGAGTCCCTCATACTCCCATAGGAAGGAGGAAAGTTGCCTGAGGCGTGTCCTCTCCCCTCCAGGAGGGCCTCCTCAGTGTACTAGCCAGAAGGAATGGGTCCTCCCCCTCTGCCTTTCCCACCAGTGTTTTGGGCTAGCCCTGCTGTCAGTTACAGGCTGCTCATGTGTCCCCCAAGGGGCTGGTCAGTGGCACTGACCCTTTGTTTTACCTCTTTCCTCCAGGTGAAGGCAAGGTCTCTGGACTGGTCAGACATCCCCTTGTGGCCCTGGCAGAATCAACATGAGGCTCTGTCATGCCTCCCCAGTGAGGCCTGTAGCCTGAGCAGATAGCATGGCCTGCCACTGACAGTGAAAGCCATGGCTACAGGAGGTGGTCGGGCCTTTGCTTGGCAGGTGTTCCCCCCAATGCCCACTTGCCGGGTGTATGGCACAGTGGCGCACCAGGAGGGGCACTTGTTGGTGTTGGGGGGCTGTGGCCAGGCTGGACTGCCCCTGGACACTGCTGAGACACTGGATATGGCCTCACACACATGGCTGGCACTGGCGCCCCTGCCCACTGCCCGGGCTGGCGCAGCTGCTGTGGTTCTGGGCAAGCAGGTGCTAGTGGTGGGTGGTGTGGATGAGGTCCAGAGTCCAGTAGCTGCTGTGGAGGCCTTCTTGGCTGATGAAGGCCGCTGGGAGCGTCGGGCCACCCTCCCTCAAGCAGCCATGGGGGTTGCAACTGTGGAAAGAGGTGAGTGGCCTTCCAAGGAAGGCCTCTCAGGTGCCCCAACACCCTCCATTCTCTCCTTAGTACCTTACCCTCAGAGTAAATAAGGGCTGTAATTTTTGCATGGATGCCCTGGACGTGGCCTTGCCTCCTGTATCTTCTCCACCTAGCTTTGGGCTAGGCTTACGGCAGCCTTCTGTTAACTGCCTTTTCTGGCTATGAGGTGGGAGGCAGAACCCAGGCTGACCTCCAGGATGATGGGAGAACCCAGCCACATCCCTGCACCATTCCTCATTTCTAAAAGATGAGGGGCAGGATGGCCTAATGACGCCTAGGGTTATAAATAGTCTGGGGTGAGGGAGGGGAGGAGGGCCTTGGCTCAGAGCCTGGGAAGTACTTTGACTCCTCTCTCCCCTCCACACACACCAGAGAGCTTGATATGAACAAAGGCCAAGCTGACTCGGGGACATGGTTGCTATGGAAGCCCCTAGCTGACTGGCTCTTCATCCCAAGTCCCCCAGACATGCTCCTAGCTGACCCAGAGGGCCTAACAGAGAGCAAGAACCTACTTTAGTTTAAGAGTGTGGTGCAGAGGTGCTGGCAAGGCTCCTGGGGCAGAAGGCTTGTGGCTAACACCTCTACCTTGCAGACCCAATCCCCTCTCCCAGCCCTACCCCAGCTGATCTCCAGAGCCCCCTCCCCAGACTGAACTCCATGCTGAGCAGGTCCCCATACTCTCCCCACCCCTGGCTTAAACCACTCCAAGCCTCCTCCCCCAAGGGGAGCCTCCACCTTTCGGCCTCTAGGTCTGACCACCGGTCCAGGCCAGCCCTGCTTGGATGCCAGACTCCGTTGCCATAGCGTCTCCAGGGAGACAGAGACAGATTATAATTAGATCGGCTGCCTCCTGCTCTTCATTCAGAGGGGCCCTGGCCAGAATGGGAATCCCAGCTCTCCCAACCCCCTCTAGGCAAGCAGTAGAGTTTCTGCTGCTGGAGAGGGGTGCCACAAACACATGGATCTCCAGCCCTGACCAGGGCAACTGTCAGGGTGGGGTGCCCTGGCCAGGCTAGGGTGCAGTCTGAACTACTCTTTTCTATGCAGATGGTATGGTGTATGCTCTGGGGGGAATGGGCTCTGACACGGCCCCCCAGGCCCAGGTACGGGTGTATGAGCCCCGCCGGGACTGCTGGCTTTCGCTACCCTCCATGCCCACACCCTGCTATGGGGCCTCCACCTTCCTGCACGGGAACAAGATCTATGTCTTGGGTAAGGCCCTGGGAGATATGAGAAAAGGGCTCAGAGTTCAGAAGTCCTCATCCCCATAGGTTGGCTGGCATAGGGATCAGGCTCAGTCCAGGATGGCAGAACAAGAGAAGCTTTGCTGGGATGATCCAGGCCTGTTCTGAGGCTCTGACCTTGGTGGTTCTGCTGGGGTTGGAAAACCAAACCCCAGTGTCTAAGGGTTTGTGAAGTGGTTGATCCATGTGCAAGTATGCACACAACTGGGTATAGGAGGCTGGGCCAGGCAGGTCAGCAACCTGGTGAGGAGCCCACCAAGTCCCCTGGGCTTCCTCGCAGGTACTCCAATTTCATTGACAGGGGGCCGCCAAGGCAAACTCCCAGTGACTGCTTTTGAAGCCTTTGATCTGGAGGCCTGTACCTGGACCCGGCACCCAAGCCTGCCCAGCCGCCGGGCCTTCGCTGGCTGTGCCATGGCCGAAGGCAGTGTCTTTAGCCTGGGTGGCCTGCAGCAGCCTGGGCCCCACAATTTCTACTCCCGCCCACACTTTGTCAACACTGTGGAGATGTTTGACCTGGAACATGGTAAGCAGTGGCTATCCTGGCTATCTTCCCACTCTCCATGGGATGGAGGGGCATAGTGGTTATGTGACTTGAACCGACCTCCCCTTTCCTGCAGGGTCATGGACCAAGCTGCCTCGAAGCCTGCGCATGAGAGATAAGAGGGCTGACTTTGTGGTTGGCTCCCTTGGGGGCCACGTTGTGGCCATTGGGGGGCTTGGTAAGTCTCTGTGGGGCTAGAGAGAGGAAGGAGGCCCAAGATAGGAAAGAGTAGCACCCAGCATGAGTGCCATTTTCTGCCCTTCTCCAGGGGTCAGGGCTTTGTGAGCTCCTTTCCCTACCAATGAAGCAGGCAGGATGTGGTCTGCCTGGCCTGCTTTCAGGGTATCCTCTAGTGCCTGACTAAGGGCTCTGTACCAGCAGGGGCCTAGGAGACAGAAGCAGGACAAATGACTACTGAATGCCCAGCCAAGTGCACAAATAGAAACATGAATAAATAAATGATAAACAGGGACAATGAAGAACAAGGCACTGGTAGCTCATCTGGGAATGATACCTACTAGACTACTACTGCTACTACTCTGGGCTCAGGAAGCAAAAGGGCTTGGAGCCCCTTTAGCCTGTGCCTCTTAACAACCTTCTATCTCCTTCCTGCAGGAAACCAGCCATGCCCTCTGGGCTCTGTGGAGAGCTTCAGCCTTGCACGAAGGCGCTGGGAGGCACTGCCTGCCATGCCCACAGCCCGCTGCTCCTGCTCTAGCCTACAGGCTGGGCCCCGGCTGTTTGTTATTGGGGGTGTGGCCCAGGGTCCCAGTCAAGCTGTGGAGGCACTGTGTCTGGGTGATGGAGTATGAAGGCCTGATAAGATCTGTCGACCAGAGCAGCTCAGTGCCAGAGGCAGAGGTCTATGGCTCCTTTTGCTGCTGAGGACACTCACTGTGGCTCTGTGGGATGAGAGAGGCACATGGGCAGGCACTTGAAACACCACCTTGGGGACTTGGGTTAGGGGAGCCTTTGTCTTTAGTGCAGGACACACATATGCTTACCATGTGTACCTACCTTTATCACCATGCATTCATGGACCATGCATAGCTCCACCCTTGCCCTGGATCCTACTAGGCCCTCTGTCCAGCTGGGAAGTGGAAAGAGGGAAGAGCTGGCCTCATGCCCTACAGGGTCAGTGCCTATCTGTAGTTGACCAGGCCTACCTTAGTGGCCATTCCTGAAAAATGCCAGCTGCCAACCTGCCTTGAGGGTCCCTGTTAGACCCAGGAGAATTCAGAGAGGGTAGGGGACACAGAGGGAATGGAGAGAATTTAGGAACTGCCAGAGGGCCAGAGGAATGCTGGTTTGGGGCCCTCTACACTGTTGGTTGTATGACTTTGGGCAAGTCATTTCACCTCTCTGTGCCTCAGCATCCTCATCTGTAAATGGGGATCTCTGAAACCTTACTGCCCTTCCTACCTCACAGGGCTGTTGTGAGGACCCAGGGACTTTGGATGTGCAAGTAAAAGTGCTGCTAAAATCTGGTGTGTAGCCCCTGGTGTGGACTCCCATGTTGCCTCAACAGCCCCTGTCCTCAGCGCTCCCAGGGATGAGGGTCCAGAGGGAGCCTCTTGGAGCCCAATTTGCACATTGTCAGGCAAGCTGGTGGAGGAAACCAACACAGAGGTGCCTCTATTTGGGGAATGGGCTGGTCTCTGCCCTCAGAGTGATCTGGTGTCTTAGCTCCATCTAAGTTTCAGCTTCTCCTTTGGTGACATGGGATCGCAACCCTCCCCTACTGTCCTGAGTGTTAGAGGGCACTGATAGGGATGGCTAGAGAAGTGTTAATAACAATAACACAACACCATAGGGTTAGAACGACGTCCAGGTCCAAGTCACACAGTGTCTCCTCAGGGTCTCTGCTCATCCCCATAGGAAGGGGTGGTCCAGTGGGTGCTATGGCCAGGGCAGTCTCCCTCTGTCCCAGCTCTGGGGCAGTCATCTTTTGTGCAGGACTGTGTGGCCACCCACTAAACCCCTCGAGAGCAGGAGCTTCCTGTGGCCAACCCTTGCCTCTTCCAGCCTTTGCTGCACACTACTAGGGGCCTTTGGCTCTGCTCTCCCTGCAACTACACTGAGTACAAGGGGCTCACAGCTGAGTTTGCTGTAAGAACAAGAAGTATTTGGGGCCCTGGAATCCATCTGCTGTGGTTTTTCCGCCTTCTGATTCCCTGCAACAGGCAATAGGGGCCCTCCTTAATGGTACGGGGTCTTGGCCCACAGTCTTGGCAACTCTCTGGGATTCTTAGCCTCTTGCAGGCTTTATCCTTTCTTATTCAGTGTCAGGGCTCCCTGGACAGCATCTCCTATGCCCAGTACACAAACACCATGGGCATAAGTGCCATGGGAGCCAGGCACAGGGCCTGCCAGCACACCACTGCTGTCCAGCCTCTGAGACCTCTGCAAGTATACATAAGCTGCTGTGTCAGCTGTTATTGTTTAATGCTTTGGACCAGTTTAGACACTCAGCGACCCCAGCATGAAGGTAGTGCTGCAGCAGCTTGGGTCTCGGAACCCCCAGGATGTCAGGCAGTGTGTTGGGGACTGGTGCCCGGGGCCCTACCTTGTCACTACCACAGTGACCACCCCGGGATGGTTGGCAGAAGTTCTGCTGGTAGGTGGTGCTGGCTCGGGGAGGCTGGACCTGCACAAAGTGGACGAGGCGCTGGGGGAGGCCACTGAGTCCTGGGCTTGGCCGGAAATCAGTCTGGTAGGAAGATTCCAGGGGCCCTTGGTGGCGAAACTCCGTCTCACAGGGTGCCCAACGCAGGAAGGTGTGTCGCTGCCACAAACGCTCCAGGTCTTTTCGCCTTCCGATTCCCTGCAGTAGGCAATAGGGGCCCTCCTCAACGGTACGGGCCCTTGGCCCACAGTCCTGGCACCAGGCACCTCCTTGGGCCCCTCCTAACCTCAAGTCTGCTTGGTGATGCCTGTCCTGTACCCTGGCCTCCTTGGCCTGCCTCCCTAGCGATGCCTTCCATTCCAGGGTGAAGCACCCAGAAAGTCAGTGGCCCTCAGGATATTTGCACATTGTCAGGCAAGCTGGTGGAGGAAACCAACACAGAGATGCCTCTATTTGGGGAATGGGCTACTTCCCAGAAAAGAAAAGGTTGTGGGGAAGATAAGCTGTTTGCATAAGGAGCCCTCCCTCAATACCTTACCCCTTCCACCCTACCACCTGCTCTGTCCTGACTTAAACTGAGGCTGGGGGACTGCCCATTCTCCCTCTCTTCAGCACTCACTTTGTCGAAGGAAGTACGGTTGTCATGCTTGGAGAAGAAGTGTCGCTGTGCTGGCTCCTTGAAAGACAGTGAGAAATAAGGTGAATGAAGAAAATGATGCTTACTCCCCGCACAAGAAATTACCTCAGGGCCCACAATGGAGGGAAGCTGCTAGGAGCCACTACCCCTGAACTGCTAAACTGCCAACACACTGAAAAAGCAGAGACAAAGTAAAGCAACACTTCACTCCTGGGGTATTTCATCTAGGGACTTGCCCTGAAGAGGAAGCCACTGACTGAAGAGGGGGCTAAGGCATCTGCCAGGACATCCTGCCATCAGGGCAGCAGTGGTTGAGTTTCATGTTGGGCCTTTTATTTATTTATTTATTTATTTATTTATTTATTTATTTATTTTTTTGAGACAGAGTCTCACTTTGTTGCCCAGGCTAGAGTGAGTGCCATGGCGTCAGCCTAGCTCATAGCAACCTCAAACTCCTGGCTCAAGCAATCCTCCTGCCTCAGCCTCCCGAGTAGCTGAGACTACAGGCATTCGCCACCATGCCCGGCTAATTTTTTGTATGTATATTAGTTGGCCAATTAATTTCTTTCTATTTTATAGTAGAGACGGTGTCTCGCTCTTGCTCAGGCTGGTTTCGAACTCCTGACCTCAAGCAATCAGCCCGCCTCGGCCTCCCAGAGAGCTAGGATTACAGGCGTGAGCCACCGCGCCTGGCCCATGTTGGGCCTTTTAATGCTCAGGACTTCTCCTCCCCTCTGTCCACACTTACTCCTTCATCAGCATACCCAGGCTCTTGGCTCTAAATGCCATCTGGAAACTGAAATTTGTATCTCTAGCTCACGTTCTCTCATGAACTCCAGACTCGATATGGAGTAGCAACTGCCTACTCCACATGTCCATGTCAATGCCTAATGGGCCGTCTCCAAACACATGAATGAGCTTTGGATCACCCCTAAACCCACTCCACCTAGAGCCTCAGCAGCTTAGGCCATAGCAGCTAGATCCTGCCAAACACCTCAAGTCCCCTTGATTCTTTTTTCTCATTTCCCATACATTGAATGTGCCAGGAAATCCTGTTGATACTTCCATCAAAATGTACCCAGGATCAGATTGCTCCTCAGCATGCTTGCTGCTTTTCCTGGTCTAAGCCACTTTCCTCATTTCAAGAGTTTCCTGCCTGGAATCCCTGCTTTCAAGCTTGCCCCTCCAGTCTATTGTCCTCTTAGCAGCCAGAATAATTGTTAGTACATAAATCAGATCACATCAGTTTGTTTAAAATCCACAATAGTTTGTCCTGTTTGTAACAGCCAAAGTCATCACAGTGATCCATGAGACACATACGATATTGGTCCTTCTGTTACCTCCAGACATGCTGGTCTCCCCACTTTTCCTCAGATACACCAGGTACTCCCACCTCAGGCCTTAGCACCACCTGTTCCTTCTGCTGGCCATATAGTTCTCTCTCACCTCCTTCTTGAGAGGACTTCCTTGAGCACTATGCCAGTAGTCCCATCACCCCCAACTCTGCATTTTCCACCTCCTAACACACTATGTGATTATTATGATGTTGCTTATCATCTGATAATATGTTGCCTTATTATATGTTGCCTATCATCTGATGCCCCCCATTATAACATAACATGTGGGCAAAGGTTATTGTCTGCCTTGTCTGTAACTCCAGCACTGAGAACAAAGCCTGGCACTGTGCTCAATAAATGTTTGCTGTTAAATTAATGAACTGGAATAGAAGGTCCTGGACTGGGGGATTTCCTTTGGCTCAATTGGGGCCAGAGAGCCTTGTTGTATCCTCAGACAGAGAAAGACTATCTCTCAGGCCTCCAGAGCTTGGCAGGAATCTCTTCCAAGTCCATCTCCTTGCCTTCTTGCTTGGCCTCTGTTCCCTGAGTGATCCCCTCACCAGCCACTCAGCTGCTTCTGTTGCAGACCTTAAGTGGCCTGATCTGGTGAGTTCAGGCTTGGCTGGGTTGGAGGTATGATCAATGGCTGACAGCATGTTCCCAGATTAAACTCAGGGGCTGGCTCTATCTCTGATCCCTGAACTAGAATCTTCAGGGTAGAGCCAGTTATATGTATCTTTAACAAGCTCTCCTCTTAGGAGCTCTTGCCTACTGGATAGCCAGTAGCAGTCTCCAAACAGAATGAAAGTCCGAAGAAGGTTAGAAGCTGACCAGCCTTACCTCTCATAACTCATAAAGCAAGCTGACACAATGGGGATTAAAAACCCAGGGCCTTTTTAGAAAAAAAGCATAGAAAATCTTCAGAATCTAGAGCTAGGCAAAGAGTTATCAGACTTAACACCAAAAGCAAGAGCCATAAAGGAAAAACAATTGATAAATTTGACCTCATCAAAACTTTTTAAAGTTTTTCTCTATGAAAGCCTATATGAAGAAGATGAAAAACAAGCCACAGACTGGGAGAAAATATTTACAAACCACATATCCAACAAACAACTAGTATCTCGAATATATAAAGAACACTCACAACTCAACAGTAAAATAACAAACAATCTAATTAGAAAAGAAGCAAACAACATGAAGCCTCACTGAAAATGATATACAGATGGCAAATAACACATGAAAACATGTTCAACATTATTAAACATCAGGGAAATGCAAATTAAAACCACAATGAGATATCACTACACATCTAACAGAATGGCTAAAATTAAAAATAGAGACAACACCAGAAGTTGGTGAGAATGCAGAGAAACTGGATCATTCATGCATTCCTGGTAGAAATGTAAAATGGTGCAGTTACTCTGGAAAACAATTTGGCAGTTGCTTTAAAAAATTAAACATGCAACTACCATATGACCCATTAATTGTATTCTTGGGCACTTATCTCAGGAAGACAAAAACTTACGTTCACCCAAAAATCTGTGCACATTCATAACAGCTTTTTATTTGTATAAGCCAAAAAAACTGGAATTATCTCAGATATCCTTTAACAGGTAAATGGTTAAACAAACCGGTACATGCATACCATGGAATACTATTCAGTAATGAAAAGAAATAAACAACTGGGCCGGGCGCGGTGGCTCAAGCCTGTAATCCTAGCACTCTGGGAGGCCGAGGCGGGCGGATTACTTGAGGTCAGGAGTTCGAAACCAGCCTGAGCAAGAGCGAGACCCCGTCTCTACTATAAATAGAAAGAAATTAATTGGTCAATTAATATATATATATATAAATTAGCCAGGCATGGTGGCACATGCCTGTAGTCCCAGCTACTCAGGAGGCTGAGGCAGAAGGATCACTTGAGCCCAGGAGTTTGAGGTTGCTGTGAGCTAGGCTGACGCCACGGCACTCACTCTAGCCTGGGCAACAAGCGAGACTCTGTCTCAAAAAAAAAAAAAAAAAAAAAAAAGAAATAAACAACTGATACACATAACAACTTGGATGAATTTCTAGAAAATTATGCTGAGCAAGAAAAGCCAATCTTCAAAGGTTGCCTACTGTATTAGTCCACTTATATAACATTTTTAAGTGACCAACTTTATAAATGGAGGACAAATTGGTGGTTAGGGACAGGGGAGCAGAGTTGGAGAATTGGGAGGCAGATGAGTGAAGTTATAAAAGGGTAGCAACAGGGATCCTTGTGATGTTGGTCAATATCTTAACTGTAGTGGTAGTTACATGAACCTACAGAGGTAATAAAATTTTATAGGTCTTAATAAACACCCACACCCACCCACCCACACACACACACACACACACACACACACACAAATGAGTACAAGTAAAACTGAGGAAATCTGAACCAGATTGGTGATTGCATCAATGCCCTGGTCCTGATATTATACTATAGCTTTGCAAAATTTTACCACTGGGGGAAACCAGGCAAAACATAGAAGAGATCTCTGTTATTTCTTACAACTGTTTATGACTCTATAATCATCTCAATAAAAATTTCAATTTTAGAAAAACCTGGGAACTTGGAGCAATTTCCAATTGACCCCCAATTTCTCCTTTGTCTCTATCCTCAGCTGTGTACCGAATGGTACACAGCCCTAGAATGCAGATGACTTTGTTGTTGGAGGCAGCTCTGATTGGAAATTCATTATTCCTACAGTGGCAAGATAATCTGTTGATTCCCATTGATTCGAGGTTTTTTTGTTTTTGCTTTTTGGTTTTTTTTTTAGTTTTATCTTGGGCAATTTATTTTGTAAAATTTTACTTATTTATTTTTTATTTTAGCATATTATGGGGGTACAAATGTTTAGGTTACATATATTGACTTTGCCTCACCCAGGTCAGAGCCTCAAGCATGTCCATCCCCAAGACGGTGCACATTCATACTCCACACTGCACACTGCACACTGCACCCATATTAGGTGTGCATATATCCATCCCCTCTCCTCCCCTCTCCCACCTGCCTGACACCTGATGAATGTTACTACTACATGAGCACATAAGTGTTGATCAGTTAATACCAATTTGATGGTAAGTACATGTGGTGCTTGTTTTTTCACTCTTTTGATACTTCACTTAATAGAATGGTCTCCTGCTCCATCCAGGATAACATAGAGGTGCTAGATACCATTGTTTTTTGTGGCTCAGTATAACTCCATGATATACATATACCAATTTTATTATTAATACACCCATGTATTGATGGGCACTTGGGTTGCTTCCATATCTTTGCAATTGTGAATTGTGCTGCTATAAACATTCTAGTGCGGATGTCTTTTTATAGAATGTCTTTTTTTCCCTTGGGTAGATGCCCAATGATGGGATTGCTGGATCAAATGGTAGTTCTACTTGTAGCTCTTTGAGTATCTTCATATTACTTTCCATAGACGTTGTACTAGTTTGTGGTCCCACTTGATTCGGAGTTTTGTTCTCTCACAACTGTGGGAAGCACAGTTATTTCCTCTCCACCCAGGCAGTTCTGGGTACTCTCCCTGAGGAAAATTAGCATCTGTAACTTTGTTTTTAGACCATTCAGGACTCCTTTTCCACCATGGTAGTGAAACCCGTAGTTTCTGAACAGGTGGGGTTAGGGCTGGGATTTCATCCTAAGAAGCCTGGGAAAAGAGGTGGGTCTTGTAGAAGGGGCAGTGTTTATATGTGGGAGGAGTGAAGATTCTGCTGGAGGGCGGGCAGTCTGCAGTGAGTGGGATGCTGAGAGAGGAGCATCTGTGGCAGACTGAGGCATAGGGCACAAAAATCATGGCATGGCAGATGAAGGACCTGCCCCCTAGTCATGAATGTTTGAGACTCTTGTCTGACCTTAGTTAGTAATACAAATAGGACCAGAATTACATCTTCTAAGAGGCAAACAGATGAAGGCTAGATATAGATTAATCTTGTTTAGAAATAAAAATGAAAAAGACAAAAAAAAAAAAAAAAGAATTTTCGGCCGGGCATGGTGGCTCACAACTATAATCCTAGCACTTTGGAAGGCTGAGGCAGGATGATCACTTGAGGTCAGGAGTTCAAGACCAGCCTGAGCAACCGTGAGACCCCGTCTCTACTAAAAATAGAAAAATTAGCCCAGAACTACTAAAAAATAGAAAAAATTAGCCAGGTGTGGTGGTGCTCACCTGTAGTCCCAGCTACTCAGGAGGCTGAGATAGGAGGATGGCTTAAGCCCAGGAGTTTGAGGTTGCTGTGGGAAGGGCTGATGTCATGGCACTCTAGCCCAGGCAACAGAGTGAGACTCTGTCTCCAAAAAAAAAAAAGAATTTTCTTGCATCTGAATGTCATGGACAAAATTTTTAACCATCCCCAAACTAAAGGAGAGTGGGATGCTAGGTTTTGAAAAGGCTTTAGACAACAATAGGTGCAATCTGCCAGCCTAAACCTGGTACCTCTCAACCAATGAGAAAATAACATGTGTTCCTTCCCTGAGAAATCCTATTAATTAAAACAGCTTTAGACTTAGAAGGAGCCATGAGACTTGACATTTATACAACTTGAGCCCAAGATACACAGATCATGTTATTTGGAACTGCTACTGCTGCTAGTAAATTCTTTATGTATCAAGTCCTCACTTGTACAGTGCCGAAACATGTCACCTACATGTCTGTTCCTGAGGAACAGGTTTAACAGATTGAGAATATGTTCCAATCTCTGGAGGAAGAGCTGCCACTGAGGGCTACTACAAACATCCAGCAGGAAGTCTGTGGGTTGCTTCTGTCCCTGTACTACCCAGAACCCATCACTCTCAAACTGTAAATTCTAAGGAAGTCCAGTTTCCAGGACCCTGCTCTCAGCCAGGAAAAGCAATTCCTGGGGAATCCAGATGGCAGACAAGTATTAATAGGACCTGGCAAGAGGCTGGGCAGCACAAAGGCACAGTAGGTGAAGCATGTTCTGGGCATCCCTTAAGGTCTCCCTGGGCCCTCCTTCACCTTGCTCTTGCTCAGGAGGCTGACCTGAGTGCACTCATCACCAAGACCCCTTTGATCTGGCCACTGAGAAGCCCTGGGAGGAGATGGAGAAAAAGAGGGAGGAGGCGTTTCTTCTCTTGGCTTTCTTGCAACCAGCTCCCACAGGGCTCTGTCTCTTTACACAGGATCACAGCTACTGTCAGTGTGACCCTATCCACACCTCTCTCTTTCCTTCTGGGTTCTAGGAGCCATGCTTTCCCCTTGTCCCTTTCGGCCCAGTGGTACTGACTGGTTGGTTGTTCCAGTCTGTGAGACTATCTTTTCCTGAGGCCTCCACGCATACTCCTTTATAAATAATCCCCCTGAGTTTTCCTGTTTTCAGTATGCTTTTCACAGTTGGGGCCCTGACTTATAGTGCACTGTACCCCTCCTTGTCTCTAGGCCTGTAAGCAGTGAAGGGCCTGGGACCCTGCACCCCTCTGCTATTCTCTGGAAGCCTGTTCCAGCCACTCTAGGCTGCCTCTGCCATCATTTCTGTTCCAGTCTTCCCTGGCCAAATGTGCAGACCAGTACCCAGCCACCCTCTGCACTACTTCCCTGACCAGAGGAGGCCTCCTCTTCCCAGGAGGCCCTGGACTATGAGGTTGCCTGTGGGCTGGATCATGGGCTTTCATGACATCAAGGAATCTGAAGTTGTCAGCAAATTCAAGGCTTATGTCATGGGTTCTGGAGGTTATCTCTCCATAGCTATCCACCCCTTCTAGGCCCTGACCATTCCTCCATCTAGAAGGGACAGTGAGCAAGGCTGTCCAGTTTGGCACTCATTCTTTTTCACCCTGTCTATAGGGGGAAGAGCTGACATTTTAGGGAAGAGGGGCAAAACTTCATGCCTGTTCCAGGGATTTGGTGGTCCCAGGTGTCAGTCCAGCTGTGGAAGGGTTGGAGATGATGCTTTTGAGTCCTAGGAGAGGCAGGAACTGGCCCAGTCACCCCCACTGCCCTCAGGGCTGCCTTGTACCTGACATCGCTGCAGGAACACTGCTGGAGGCTGGGGTTTGGCTGCAAGGCGGTATTCTCCAGCACTTTCACTCTTGAACTGGCTTCTGTAGTGCCCATAGAAGCCACTGTTGTGCTATAACAAAAAAGGCATGAGGGTAACCCCACTCAAACCACCACCCTGGGCCCCAGACCTCAGGACCCCATCTGAAGTTTCTAGGGAAGCTAGGCCAGAAGCCCCTGACGGGAATTCCTGACAAAACAGAAATAATCTGAGGAATTGGGAAACTCCTGGAGAGGGGCCAGCAGAGAAGCATCACCATGCATCATTAGGACAATTGGCCTTCGGTGCATTGACCCACTTGGGGGGGGCTATGCATGTGTGGGGAAGGGGTACCATTCACTCAGAGCAGAGTTTTGTGGGCAGGACCACTATCCAGTGGTGTAGCCCTTCCTTAAGGAGTCTGAGAAGTCTCCTTTGTTGTCCTCCCTAATCAAGGGTCCCTGATGAGAAAAGGTCCAATGGATCTTCCTTCCGCCTCTACTGACAAAGTTGTGAATACTCATTTGCCACACACCCTGCTATTCTGGAGTAAAAGGGGAACCCCCTGAAACTGGAGCACTTAAGCAAGGGATAAACTTTCCACAAGGAAAATTTCATCAACAGAGGATACCTTCTGGAGAGAATTTCAGAGAAAGGCACTGGCAGAAGACAGAAATGAGCACCTATCAGGGGGCTATAGAAGAGGCTATATTGTGCCAATGTCATTAGGTGGACACCTGCCTGGGAATTCCTATGGCCCAACCTCTTTGTCCTGTGTCCTCTGTAGAGAGGATGGGTATGTCTGGTTCTCCACAGTCATAACTCTGACCAGAGGAACCTGCCCTGAGTCTGGCCTCTGACAATCACAGTGGGCTTCTCAGCAGGTCTAGGAAGTCCCTATCTTTTTATCCTACTGAAGACTTGAGTCACTTTACTTGTCTGTCCATTCCTCTGCTATCTGTCAAGAACCCCTTGCCCTCTATCAGGTTAATTCAACAGTATTTACTGGACCTTTACTGTATTGTAGGCATGGGGCTGGGCATAGGAAATATAGATGGACAAAAACACAGTCTTTTCCCTCAAAATGTTCCCAGATTAGAGAGCAGTCAAATTCTAGAAGTTTGGCAGGGGGGAGGGGAGCATGGAGGGGGGAATCAAACAATAACCTGGGAATAAAATGGTGTGGCCAGAGGACTAGGAGTTTCATATGGCTCGCAGGAGACCAGGATGCATGTAAGGAGGCATAGTGTCAGGAAGAGTAGGCAGCCTCCATGGGTGACTTCAGGATAGTGGAGGCGAAGTGGGCAGCTCAGGGTCTTCCACTAGGCTAGGCTGGATGCTGGATGCAACCCTTCTCACTTCACTCAGATTTCAGGTACAACCTGAAGGTGAGGGGCCAGGATTAACTATAAAGCACATTCTTACCCAGGAGCCTACTAAAGCTCTTTGCATCTTTCCAGGAAGGGAGCGGAAAAGGCAAACTTTCCTCTTGTCTTTTTGAGGTTACATCTGAGGAAAGAGAATCTCCGGAGGTCAACTTCTTGTTGCTTAGTGACAAAGGGAAGTTATGACTGCACAATGCTGCTGTTTGTTGAGGCAGCACCTGGCCTGTTGCCCTTTTGTCCTTGCTGCTCTATTTCTTCTCTGTGAGAGAAATCTGCCCCCCGGCTTTAACCATCTGGGAGAGCCTTTATATATAGAAACATAAGCGGTAGAGTCTGATGGACTCACAGCCAATGAAATATTAAAGAACATTTCAGAGGCAAATCCTGCATTTAGAAAACTATGCATCCATACTGCCAGGGATATATATATAAATTTAGAAAGCATTCCATGGAGTCAGAAGAAATGTTAAAGGGATTGGAATTTCTCAGGATAAAATTGCTGCTTCAGAATAAGGCTCTGCCAACTTATCTCTTTCATAGGAGTTTGTGGTGACCAGATCATAACAGGTGATTGTTGCAAGGGCTGAGTGAAGGAGGAGAGCATAACAGAAGAGCATAAGAAGGAGAATGCAAAGATTTGACATGGTTTCATTCTGAGCTACACTTGGGCAAATTATTGACTGATTCTCTTTTATTTGTAATAAAGAAACATGAATAGTTCATCCTCTTTACTAACCAAAAGAAGCTGGTAATCAGCATCTAAAAAGTTCAACAAGCTGGGTTCAGTGGCTCACACCTGTAATCCTAGTACTCTGGAAGGCCGAGGCGGGAGAATCGTTTGAGCTTAGGAGTTCCAGACCAGCCTGAGCAAGAGCGAGACCCCGTCTCTACTAAAAAAAAAGTAGAAAGAAATTAGCTGGACAACTAAAAATATATAGAAAAAAAAATTAGCTGGGCATGGTGGAGCATGCCTGTAGTCCCAACTACTCAGCAGGCTGAGGAAGGAGGACCGCCTGAGCCCAGAAGTTTGAGGTTGCTGTGAGCTAAGATGACGCCACGGCACTCTAGCCTGGGCAACAGAGTGAGACTCTGTCTCTAAATAAATAAATAAAAAGTTCAACAGTAGGAAACACTCAGACCCTGCTAGTATCAATGGCACCAGCCCTAATAACCAGAAAGGCTATCGTAGTGTAATCCTCTCACAGGGACTCATAGGTATTAAAATGTTCATTGTAGTATCTACATAAAGAAAAAATTGTAAGTAGTGCATGTGTTTATTTACCAACAAGACAATGAGGAAACTGGGCTATAATCACACAATGAAATACTGGAATTACTATGATTACTATGTATGGGTTATAGATATTTGAATCCATAGAGATAAATCTTAAAGATATTGAGTCAAAAAGTGAAATTATAGAAAGATGTGCAAAGTATGCTATTTATAAAATGATACAAACATGCAAAATTAGAGCTGGGCAAGGTGGCTCAAGCCTATTAATCCTAGAGACTCAGGAGGCTGAGGTGGGAGAATCCCTTGAGCCCGAGCCCAGGAGTTTGAGGCTCTGGTAAGCTATGATCTCGCCACTGCACTTCGGCCTGGGTGACAGAGCCAGACCCCATCTCTAAAAAAAAAAAATGGAAAATAATGCTATATATTATTTATGAATACACATATATGAGCTATGAGTAAAAAGCACAAGCATGCATAGAAATGATAAGCAACAAATTCAGGATAAAAGTCACCTAGGTAGGGGAGCAAGGGTAATGATATCAGGAAGGGCAGAATGGAGCCCTTCCTTATACCTATCTGTATTTATTTTTAAGTTCACAACTCTATCTGTATTCATTTTTAAAGCTTTGCTTAGGTAATTAATACACAATAAACTGCACATAGTGAAAGTGTGTAACTTGATACATTTTGATATATGTATATACCTATGAAACATCATCTTCAAGATAGTAAACAGGACCATCACTCTCAGGTTTCCTTCTGCTCATTTGTAATCTTTCTCTATGGCACTCATTTGCCTCAGGCAACCACTGTTCTGTTTTCTGTCATTATAGATTTGCATGTTCTAGTATTTTATATAAATAGAATCATACAGTATGTATTGTTTTGTGTCTGGCTTTCATTCAGCATAACTATTTTGAGATTTATCCGTTTTGTTGTGGGTCAATTCTTTTTATTGCTTAGTAGTTTTCCATTGTATGCATGTACCAAATCACTCCTTCTGTTTTTCTGAATCCATACACCAATCAGGTTTTTGTCCCCATTACACCGTTATGTTCCTGAAAAATTAATTCTCACTTATCTCCCTCAACATACCGGCAGCATTTGTCACAGCTGATCTCCTCCTCATTGAAGCAGTTCCAGGAGGCTTCCAGAGAAATTCACTCTCCTGGTGTCCCTCCCCCGTCCCTGAACACTCCCTCCAACTCTTTGGCTGCTTTTCCCTCATCTCCAAGGACTCTAAACTAGTTGTGCGTCCTGGGGCTCAATACAATCTCTTTTCCATCTAGACTCCTTCATTGGTGATCTCATCCTATTTCATTGCTTTCTAAGTCATCTACGACCACCAGAGGCAGAGGTAAATAGATCCCGCCTGCCCTACACTCGCTGTCCCTGCCCTTAGGTCACTCCAGCATCCAGCAGGCCAAAAGCCTCAGACGATTTCTTTCCTTTCTGTCTCCTCCAGGGCCCCAGTTCTGTGTCCCCATCTGCTCACGGCCCCTTTCGCCCAGCTGCTCCCCTTTGCCCTGCCCTTGCTCTGAGCCATGTGCTCGGCCACCAGGTCCAGCCCACATGCTGCCCTCACAGACGCCAGCTCGCCAGCTCTGGGGTTCTGGGCCTCCCTGTTCTTGGCACATGCAGTGGAGTGTGGGTCAGGCGACTAGCGAGTGTGTACAGGCTTTCAAGGGGATGCCGGGTGGGTTGCAGGTGGGCCGCTGGGTGTGAGGGTGGGGATGTGAGGTTACGTCTTACGCGAGGCAACGTGGGCTGGATGTGGCGTGTGGCTGTGTGTGGCGCGATGTAGGCCTCCTGCCCGGCCCGCAATTAGACGGGTTGAGATCGTTAGGACCGTTAAGACTGTTAGGAGCGTTAAAACCGTTAGGACCGTTAAGACCGTTAGCCGCGTGTCCGATGGGGGCGGGGCCCTGAGGACGGGAAGGAATCCCATTGGCCAGAGGAGGCCCTGGGGGCGGAGCCGCGCATGCTTTGGCTGTCGCGGCGGAACCGGGGCTTCTCCAAGTCAGGTCTGGGCAACTCCAGGTATGGCGGCGTGCCCCAACAGCCAGAGGTGGGGACAAGGAGCGCCTTGGGCAGGGTGGGCTAGACTGGGTTAGAGGTGGGGGTAGGTGGGGGGAAGGGTCGAGGAGCCTAACGGGGACTTGGGGATAGGTTCGGGATTCCTGGGGGCCTTGCAGGGTTTCCCGAGAGTTTGGCTTCTGCACCTGAGTCCGGCTTCGGAGTCCCCCGCTGCCCTTTCTTTCCCTGTGGTGGTAGGCTGCTGTGACTCTTGAAGGAGGCCCTACTTCGGCGCTAGTCCTTGAGGAGTTTTTGTCAGATTTCGGAGGGTCTGATCTCCCATCGTAGGTTCCCACCTGGGAGACTCAAGGAAGAGAGTTGGCCTGGGAAGTCTGAGTGACACTCAGAGAGGCCCACTGGGATTTATCTTTGATTATTATTATGGAAAATCCTAAGGAGTCCTCTGGAAAAGACTTCGGAATGATAGGAGCTCAGAGAGTGTCTCCGGGTTGAAAAGAGACTGAAGTTGACCAGGCGCGGTGGCTCACGCCTGTAATCCTAGCACTCTGGGAGACGGGGGATTGTTAAAAGTCCAGATTTGGAAACCAGCCTGAGCAAGAGTGAGACCCGTCTCTACTAAAAATAGAAAGAAATTAATTGGCCAACTAAAAAATATATAGAAAAAAATTAGCTGGGCATGGTGGCGCATGCCTGTAGTCCCAGCTACTCGGGAGGCTGAGGCAGGAGGATCGCTTGAGCCCAGGAGTTTGAGGTTGCTGTGAGCTAGGCTGACGCCACGGCACTCATTCTTGCCTGGGCAACAGAGTGAGACTCTGTCTCAAAAAAAAGGAAAGAAACGAAAAAGAAAAGAGGCTGGAGTTGAGAGAGGAAGACTGTTCATGCTTGAGGAGGGCCTGACCAGACCTGAAGTCTGAGGAAGAGACTTTTTTCTGGTCTTTATGCAGTGGAGGAAAGGGAGTCGCACTTGGAGGGACTGCACGCCCGGGCTTCAAGATTTTCAGGGTTGGCCAGCTGCAGTGGCTCATGACTGTAATCCCAGCACTTTTGGGAAGCCAAGGCGGGAGGATAGCTTGAGGTCAAGAGTTCAAAACCATCTTGAGCAACATACCGAGACCCCCATCTCTACAGACAAAGAAAAATTAGCCAGGAGTGATGGCAGGTGGCTGTAGTCCCAGCCACTCGGGAGGCTGAAGCAGGAGGATCGCTTGAACCCAGGAGTTTGAGGTTGCTGTGAGCTATGATCATGCCACTGCACTCTAACCAGGGCAACAGAGTAACACCCTGTCTCTCAAAAAAAAAAAAAAAAAAGATTTTCAGGGTTGAAAGACAGGGTCAGATGGGGGAAGTCTATACCCCTCAGAGCCTCCCATGCTTACCCACACTGCTAGGGCCCTTCCTGTCTGAATGGTTCCATTCGTGGCATGCAGTCAATTTATCCTCCCCTTTTATGCTTCTTTTAATAAGGTTGGGGTGGTGAGAACTGACGGGGGGATCCTGACCTTGAAAGTTTTAAAGGTGTGCATTAAAAGTTTTTAAGTTTTCATTTAAGTTTTCATTTATCTTGGAATGACTAGTGTTCTACTTTAGAATGCCTGCCTCTTCATTACTAGTGTTGTAGTAGCATCTTCAAGGAGAGTTTTAGACAGATGGGATTTCTACTACCCTCTGGGAATTTAAAAGGCTATACAGGTAGCATGGAGATGGGTAAATGCAGAGAAGAGAGATAAACCTGAGGTTGGGTATATCAAGCCCTAGGTATTCCTTAGACATATTGAGAATAAGGGTGTACTTACCACAATTTTTAAACTTTGGGAAAAAGAATTAAGGGTGTAACCATGGACTTTAACTTCATTAAAAACCCTCTTAAGAATTAATTAGAGCCGGGCGCGGTGGCTCACGCCTGTAATCCTAGCACTCTGGGAGGCTGAGGCGGGAGGATTGCTCGAGG